TAAATACAATAATAATTTATATATCACTTATTAATTAAATTATTATAAAAAAAGCTTTAATACAGTTTTTGAATTTTAATTTTCAAAATTTGAATTTTTAATAATGTTTAAAAAACTAAGAATTGAGAGCCAAAAATTAATAGTGAATTTGAAAATGATAATAGTTTTGAAGAGAATGCAAGTTTTTATAATAGAACTGAAAGTAAAATTAATTTTTCTACTAAAAATTTACAAGAAGTTAAGTCAGATTTAACTTATATAGTGACTTCTACGGCTACTTCTATGACTACTTCTATAGCTACTTTTCATGAATCTTCTTAGATATAGAAATTTTTTTATAAAGAGTATGATGATCAAAATATAATTAAATCACTTATTTGCTCTCTTTGCAAAGCATAATATAAAGCATCAAACTCTTCTGAAATACTTGCTATATATTTGTACACAAAACATAAAGAAAAAGCTGAACTTGTACAAGCTATATTAGATAAATTTATACCTAAACCATATTCAAAACAGGATCAATAATATAAAGAACTTACAAATTTAATTGTAGACTTTATTATTTGTTGTCAACTTCTATTTGCAATTGTAAATAATTTATACTTTATTAAAATGCTAAATCTTTTTGAAATAAAGTACCAAGTGCCATATCATCAAACTATAAAAAATAAAATTATAAAGTAACACAAAAGTATAGAAGAAAAATTAAAAAAGAGCTTGCAACAATACAAAAACTATCAATTACTTGTGATATTTGGAGCTCTATTACAATGCAGTCTTATTTAGGTATGACAGTTCATTATGTCAATAAAGAATAGAAATTATAACAATTTTTACTTGATTTGTATCATTTTTTAGGACAACATACAGCAATTAGAATACAAGAACTTCTTTTAGATATTTTAGATAATACAAATATTAGTAGCAAGTTATTAGAACTTACAACTGATAATGCAAAATCAATGATAGCTATGGGTCATGATCTTAAAACTGAATTAGCTTCAAAAGGAAATAAAGAATTAATTCATCAATGATTTGCAGCACATATTTTAAAAATTGCTGTACAGAATGGCTTAGAAAATTTAATACCAGTTATTGATAAAGTTTGAGATTTTGTAATAAAAATTCAATAATTTACTAAATTATATAATTCATTATGCACTATTTGTTAGCTTGAAAATGTTCTAGAATTAAAGCCAGATCTAGATATAAATACTAGATAGAACAGTACTTTTTTAATAATAAATAAATTTTTAAAAATAAGAACTCTTTTTAATATTCTTGTAGCTAAACATTGAGATCTTTCACTATTATATTTGCAAGATGACAATTGGAACAGACTTAAAGTAATGATAGATATACTTTATCTATTTTTTAATGCAATGGAAATTCTATTTACTTCAACATATCCAACTATAAGCGATGTTAGATTAACTATATTTGGATTAATTCATCATCTTAATTTTTTTTTAGAAGATTCTTTGAGTGATAATGATTATTTATTTATTGAGTCTATTAATTCTAAACAAAATAAGTATTGGAATTACATTAAAGAATCAACAACAATAAGCACATTATTAGATCCAAGATCTAAGACAAAAACATTTATAACTACTGAGCAATGTAAAAAAGCTATAAATATGCTATAAATTTAAATAAAAAATTATAGTAATAATTAACAACATAATCCTGTAATTTCAAATACAAAAAAAAATAAACATTTATTTTTTGAGTCACTTTTAACTAAACCAAGCAGTAGTCTATCTATTAAAGATGAGATTACAAGATATATTACAGTACCTGTAACTTCTGATACTAATTCTTTAGACTAGTAGAACTATTATAAACGTAAGCTATTTACAGTATATATTTTATATTAATATTAATAAAATATCTATTTATAAAAATACAAAATAATTTTCTGGTTCTTGTAACAATGGCTTCATACTACTTAAATATACAAGGTTCAAGTATTCTGTCAAAACAAGCTTTTTCAATAGCTGCTAATATAATTACTAAGATACATTGTAATTTAAAACCAGAAACAGCTTGTGCTATAATGTGTTTAAAAAGTTAGATTCTAAAAATTCATGATAAACAAGATAATAAAAATAATTTAGAAGTAGAAATTTTATTTGAATCATAAAAAATATTTTTTCTTGTTCTTTTTTTTTTGAATAGCAAATTTCTTTTGATTATATTTTCATTAACTGGCATATTTATTTATTTCTTTAATTACAAGTTTTTTAGTACTTTGTATTAAATATTAATATCTTTTTTATTTAAATATCATATTAAACAAATAAAAATTATTGATATAAATTAATATCGATATACTTTACATAATAGTATTATATAGCTACCTTTATTATTATAAATTAATAGTTATCAAAAATTAAATATACTCATATATAGTTATAACAAACCCTTTTATTTTAACATATAATACAAATATATGTTCTATTTTCTATCAATATAAAGTAATTTATAATCATCACTCTCTCCATAAATCAATTTTATCAAATATGAGCTAAAGACTAACCTATAGAAAACTTACTAAATAGCTTAAAAAACATAATAAAGTTTACTAAAATAAAAGTTTCAGAACCAGAAGTTATAGCTAAACAAGTAGCAAAAATAACTAAAGAAAAGCAAGAAAGAAACAAAATTCAGAAAACTCTTCTTAACAAAATAATTTTTGAAAGTTTAGAAAATTTTTAAAAAATAACAAAAACCCTAAAAATTCGATAATTGTTTGTTATACAAAATTCAGAACATGAATAGACTAATTAGAAAAGCAATACATAGAAGGAAAATCATATGTTAGATTAGAATAAACAAAACAGAACAACAAAGATATCATATGTCATATATAGATAGTAAATAGAGTGATATATGTGATAGTAAAACTAGACAACTTCTGGGGGTTTACAAAATAATATACTAAGAATTTAGGAAAAACTGAAGGGTAAAGTGATATAAATAGATTAGATTAAAATATTTGTAAGAGAAAATATATGGAACTAAGAAAAAGCAACTAAATTAGTAAGAATAGTAACTAAAGAGTATGGTAAGAAGATAATAGCAGAAGGAAGCATAGCAGTAATAGGTCTAGAGGATCATATAGATAAAATGATTACAGAAATATTAGAAGTAGATAGCAGTATAGTATCAGTAGCTAGAGAATAGAGGAAAGTAATAAAGAGAGCAGCAAAGACAGAAAGAATCGATAAAATTAAAATTATATTAGGACAAGAAGTTCAAAATGTAATAGTAGAAAAAGAGGAACTTATAATCTAAGAAAGCAAAAACAAAACAGATATAAAAATACTAGATCTACTTATCTTACTAAGAACCGATAACAGATTAACAGAGATAGAAATATTTTCAGAAAAAGACTACTCATTAGCAACAGAAATATTAGAAGAAAATTACATCTAAATAGAAGATATCAAAGAAATTCAAGAAATAGTAACAATCTTAACAAACTCTAATCAATACCCTGATGCTATAGAAGAATTGGAAGAAGACTTTACTTTTGCAGAATCTGACTTCTCACTAGAGAGAAGAATTTGGGCACCAAGTAAGGATAGATATGAAGGAAAGAAAAATATAAGCACTAAAGTAGCAGCTGTTAAAGTTTTTGGAGATAATACAGTTCATAGAGAAAAATCATTAAGATAGTCAATTAGAAGAAATACACATCTTAAAAAAATATTAGAGAAGTTTGAACAAGGCAATCTCTGGTATACTCTTGTATTTGACTACTTAAAAGCCTATGAAGAAGCAAAAAAGAAACTAGAAAGTAAAAAAGAAGAATACAAGCAAGCTAAACTAATTCTAGAAAAAAGTATTGAAAAAGATAAGAATACCTTTATTCCAGCAAATAATGAAGCAGAAACATCAAACCAAGAAATGAAAGAAATGAGAAATAAATAGGCAAAGGCAGAATTAGATGAGGTTCTAACAAGAAGAAAAAAGAAGGATACAATTGAAGATGAAAACAAGATAACAGTTTAAGACCTACCAAGTTGGGCAAAAAGAACACAAGTCTTTGAGATAGTTCGATTCTTGGGAAGAGTAGAGCATATAGAGATGATTAAAAGTACACATAATAAAACAAGAGCAAAAGTTAACTTCGAAAAAGGCACAGTCAAAAAAAAGAAATTGAATGAGATTTGGTATCTGCTTTTTATAAACTAAGTACTGGTAAGAATAACAGCAGATACTAACAATTATGAATTACTCACTTAGGTTTTTAGTCAATTAACGAACTCTTTTCGACGATCCCTCGTACCAATATTTTTACAAAATACTGACCTACGAATATTATATAGTTAGTATATTTTCACACAACAAAACTTCGCTGAGTAGCAACTGGAATCAAGGGCTTCAGATTGCATATGGGCAATATGAAACAGAGTTGAAAAAGACTGCTCCTTGTAGGTTTGGCTCTTCAGTAGAAGTCTATGGAGCTATCGAAAAAGTAGCTTTGGCAACAACCAAGGAAGTATTTGTCAAGTTATATTCAAGCAATAGCAAGAGTAT